AGTGTTCAAGAGAGAACTTGACAAGTATATTCAAAGGATACCTGATCAACCAGGCTGTGACTCCTATGTCTGGCTGCAAGCAGCTGCATCAAACAACTCAATGGATCAGACTCAGTCTGTGACCAGGAGGCCTGGTCACAGACTGGGCTGAGGAGACATTAATCCCCAGAATCTTCAAAAGGTAGGTTGGTGGATCTGGATCGTAGATTTTTCCCCCTCTCCTGCTTCTGGCTCTGAAACATCGGAGAGTTTTGGAGTCAGGACAGAGTTTAGCTCAAGGTATGGCTCGCCTTCTCTGTGGGCAACTCCTTCCACTTTGGGCATGGAAGAAGTTGAACCATCTAGTCCCACTGAAGTGTTGGGGTTTCTTACTTCCAGCTGACCACTTCTTTTGAGACCTCCTTTGGAAGCTGCTTTTCTATCTCAGGTGGTAGGCATGGACTCTGGTTCTGCAACAGAGCCTGCATGTTTGGCTTCCAGGGCTTGGAGGAGGGAGCTTGATAGGGGTCGTTGGGTTCCCTTAATCTCTGTAATGTGCATTGGTTTAATGTGATAATCCCATGGTGAACACAAAACATTATTTCCAAACTAAATTTTTCTTCGTATATTGTTAAAATCCCTTCCCTGATCATTTTTATACAGTATATAAAAAAAACATACAATACTTTCACTACAGTGAAGTAAAGAAGTTGGTGCATTATGTCACAAATGATTGTATGCTCCAGAAGCTGGTCGCATGGCCAATTCAAGATGCGAGTTGCCACAAAATTTTATTTGTGATAATTTATCACTCTATAATGTTTTCTTATTTTTTTTTTTCTTATACACATGGATGTCATTTACGGTGATTATACAGTACAGCGTGTGTATTATTTAAACTAATAATTGTACACTTGTCACTAATGTGTTCATCAATTCAATTCAATTTCTTTCTTTATTATGCACCCCATACCCATCCTGTGGGTGGTGGTGTAAAGGATTACAGAGGCACATAATCGGTTCAGGAACTGAACCCTCTAGTTCGTTTAGCTAGGCAAATAACAATCTTTTGACGCTAGTTACACAATTATTAATGTTATATATATATATATATGTACACATACTCATGCATACATGTACATATACATATGTATACATATATACATACACATACATATTTAATCACCCACACAAATACACACATCAATAATCTTTGTGTCATAAGTGATTCAACAAGAGACTCACAACAGTCACTATACAAGGCACTTTACATCTGTGGTGAGTCACACAGTTACTAGTCTTGCTGCACACCCACCCAACTGGGCTGCAGCTTTACAGTCATGTGCATGCATTACTTAAAGTAAGCAAATTTTGGATACTTCGCTAAGATTTTGGGCAGCACATCATTATGAATGAAGTACTTACACATTTCTTGGACACTACTGATGGTGTTATCTCTAAATTCCACGATTTTTTCACATTACATTGTACAATGACGCAAAGTATGCGAATAGTTCTGCTGACGGAGTTTACATTTAGTCAAATCCACATCAGCAGATGTTACAAATTCCCAGAGGTACTTGTAGCTGAGCCTAAGCCTAGCAGTGGTAACATCTAGAAGTCTGCTAACCTTATTAGATGACCCATAGATGTGCAGTACTTCCTGCATAATAGAATGATGATAGATGGAGTAACTGGTGTGAATTTCACTTTGCCTCAAGTCTCCAAAATTTAGGTGATGTTCCCGGAATATTACTGCCCTCAGGCTGCTCAAAGGCAGTCCAAGTTGGTAATCAATTCCCTCTTTACGAGCAAAAGTCTTAGCCAACTCATCAGTTCTATCATACATTCGAAGACCAATATTGTTCATCAAAAATGTTTTTTGTCACAATATTACTCGTTAAATTTTTTATTTTATTTACAAAATTTACACTATCACACATTGTATTCTTACACAGGTAAGAATACAAGGTACTGTTTATCTTGTATTCTTAATGTGTAGCTTATACAAGGAACTAAAAATCTATATGAATAAGGTATTCACAAATTTTTGCCTGCTGTCCTTTCATTGTGAGCTTGCAAACAAAGCAAACATGTTTACCTTTATCATGTGTTCCAGTACTTGGCATGTAACCAAGCTTGTATAGTACAAGATAGTCTTTGCAGTAGTCTGTGAGGAGTAGCATGAGGCATTGTTGGCACACAAACTCTGATCACAGCACTACCCTCCTAGCCTAACTTCACAAGTAAATGTGATAAGAGAGCAAGAATAAATGTACAGAGTGGTAGCTTCCTGCCTCATTTCACCAAATAAATGTTGAAGCAATTCAGCTATGTTACATCCACAAGATGAAAAAACTATTTCTTAGTCCACATCACAGTTTTCCGGACACACTCGACAGCACCAAGCATCGTTACATACATGTATCTACCAATCTCATATTTATATTGTAGTTCATGACACAATTTGGCATATACAGTATCCCATGTGTTGCAAAGTTTACATTGCAACTTATTCACTAAGCATCTGTCTTTTCAACACAGTGATAAATTCTTGTTGCCTTTTCTCAGCTGACAATCGCTGAAATACTGTACCTGTACAAAACACAGGAATTTCTCTCCTGTGTGTCCTTACTGTGCCACAGACTCCAGTCTTATGTTCAAGTAGGAACATAGTTAGCAAGGGGCTAGTGTAATAATTGTCAGTGTACGGAATATTTCCCTTGTTCAGCAGAGGTTCCATCAGTGTCTTTACCACACTGATAGAAAACGTGAGGCTCTTGACCGTGTATGTCTATGTTCATACTGGAATATAATATCATATGTATCACTATTCCAGTTTCACAATCACATATCACAAAGAATTTCAGTCCAAATCTTTGCCTTTTCAATGGGATATACTGCTTAAACACAAGACATCCGTTGAAAAAACTAGAGATTCATAAATCACCATATTCTGGCCTGGTACAACAAGTCTTTTAAATGTCCTCTCGCTTCACTAAACACTTTCCTAGCTTTCCACAGTCTGTTGTTTCAAGCCACATTACCAATAATCTCAGTGTGGGCACCTAAAAGTAGCAGGAACCTGTTATGTGACATGTACTTCTCAAAAATTGCATGGGCAGATGAGTGGCAGGGTGGTTGGGGGGCAGGCTGGGCAGGCAGGCAGATGGGTGGCAGGGCTGGTGGATGGATGATTGGCAGGACAGGCATCAAAGTGGGTGGTTGGGCAAGCAAGTGGCAGATTGGGTGGGGTAGTTAGCAGTGGGCAGGTGGGCAGTAGAGTAAGATGGGTAGCAGGGTAGGCAGATAGGCATTTGGTCATGCAAGCAGCAGAACGACCGGGTGGCTGGTGGCAGGGCACATGGTAGAGTAAGGTGGTGGGTGGCAGGGCACATGGTAGTGTAAGGTGGTGGGTGGCAAGGTGGGCATAATGGGTTTGCAGGTGGCAGAATGGGTAAGCAGCAGATCAGGTGGGTGGATGGCAGGACAGTCAGGCAGCAGAGTGAGTGGACAAGGCCTGCACAGGAATATCCCCCCCCCTTCCCCCCAAAAAAATGAGTAGCAGAGCAGATAGGCAGCAGAATGGAAGGCAGGCAGGCAGCTGGCAGTGAACGAATGACAGCGGCAGAGGGCAGGCAGCAGTGAGCAAGCAGGTGGCAGAGATACCAGAGGGGTTGGTGGGGCAGCAGTGAATGAGAGGGAATCAGATATCAGACAAGGACTAACAACAGATGGGCTTGTTGGCCTATAGGTTTCCCCAGCCTCCCCCCCCCCCCTCATCCCTACACTTAGTCCTCCCTGCTACATCCGTTCCCCCATTCCCACACTCGACCCTTCCTTCCTACTACAGTATTGTTATATATTAGAGGTGTATACAGTGTGGTAATAGGGAAACTATATGTTTTATTGTCCAAACAATATAATATTGTGTACATATTAGTGACATGAATATATTTGAGTGAATTGATGTTATGCAGTGTGATAATAGGGAAACTGTATGTTTTATTGTACAAACAATATAATATTGTGTGCATATTAGTGACAAGAATATATTTGGATGAATCGATGAGGGGCCTGACCGCTGAAAGGACAGCTCTCAGGATTCGTAGTCCTGAGGTTCTGGGTTCAATCCCCGGTGGAGGCGGAGACAAATGGGCAGAGTTTCTTTCACCCTGATGCCCCTGTTACTATGCAGTAAATAGGTACCTGGGAGTTAGACAGCTGCTACGAGCTGCTTTCTGGGGATGTATAACAAAAAGGAGGCCTGGTTGAGGACCGGGCCGTGGGGACGCTAAGCCCCGAAAGCATCTCAAGATAACCTCTCAAGTTTTTATAGAAATTTATCCAATTAACATTGTTGCATAATATAATTGAAAAAACCAGCATTGAACATAATAAAACAGTTTCTGGGTGAGCCCTGGTGACTCCTTGAAGCTACTATTACTTATAGTGAACCATCTATTAGGTTGCATCACCGCCAGAGTTCCAATGGCCAGGCCAGCACCAGAACCTGGCCCCCTCACAAAGGTGCAGGATGTGGTGGCATTTGTTTACTTATGCTACCACTGAGGAAACAACCAGAAAGTCAACAAATCAAAGCAAACCACTGTTGGCTTCAACTGAGACCATAGCCTCAGGAACTGCCAAAAAACTCCCCCAATTATGTAAACAAACTCCTCCAGGGAGGAGGGAGCTGATGTGACCTAGTAGTTGGTACACTATCAGTGATAATAGCTTCAAGGAACCACCAGGGTTCACCCAGAAATTGGCATTTCATTACATTTGATAATTTGTTTATAGTTTTGTGAGACCAGATACAGTACATTATATATTAGTTTGTCATATGAACTCGAGAGTCTCTTTTACTGTCATAATTGTTTTTCCCCAAGCACATTATTCAGTAACTAAAGTACAGTAATGCTATGCATTCTATGAAAATCTGTCCTCTGGGGCTGATAAGTTTATTTGTGTATGTGTATATACATACATGAATTCTTAAGTATGTAGTTGCCTTCTAGGTTCACAGCAGAGGTGGGAGGCTATCCTTTTCTCTATGCTGACACTTTCATGACTCGGGAGGAGTTTGAAAAGATGTTTGACCTAACAGCATATCAGGAAGTGCGTCGTAAATACAACGCTGAAGGTGCCTTTCCTCATCTCCATGATAAGGTGAGCACATTTAAACTAAATATTAATTTATTAAAAAAACTAATTACTGTTTCATGTAAATACAAGTACTAACTCAAAAATAAAACGTATGCCATCACAAAATATAATAAGCATTTTTCTATAATAACTTTATTAAATAATTTCTGGGGAGAACCCCTCGTGGCTTCCTGAAGCTATCTCCCTGCAATGGCTTCCTGAATCTATTTCGCTGAGATGGCTTCCAACTATTATATCGCATCAGCTATGAAGTTCTGTTTGGCCTACAGGGGACCAGGACCAGAACATGGCCCCCCCTCACAGAGGTACAGGGAGCAGGTGACAGCAACTTCTCCAGGGAAGGCAGCCAGAAAGTCATTGGACCAGTATGAACCACTGCTGAGTTCAAAAAGACCAAAGGCTCAAAACCTTCCAAAACAAACCCCCCCCCACCCCAAATAATATACACATGGAAAATACTGGAAGGCCAGGTCCCTAATCTACACAGTAAAATAACAACGTACTGGAGTGAACGATATGGAAGAAAATGCAGAATAGAACCAGTGAAGAGCAGAGGTGTCATAGACACAATTAGAGAACACTGTATAAACATCAGAGGTCCGCGGCTGTTCAACGTCCTCCCAGTGACTATAAGAAATATTGCCAGAACAACCGTGGACATCTTCAAGAGAAAACTAGACTGTTTTCTAAAAGATGTCCCGGACCAACTGGGCTGTGGTGGGTATGTGGGCCTGCAGGCCACTCCAAGCAACTGCCTGGTGGCCACTCCAAGCAACTCTCACAAGTCAAGCCTGGCCTCGGGCCGGGCTTGGGGAGTAGAAGAACTCCCAGAACCCCATCAACCAGGTATCAGCCAGGTATTATCCCCCCCCCCCCCCCGAACCATGTAAACAAATGATCAAATCTCTCGAAAGGAGTGAGCTTGTTCACCCTACCCTTCCCACTCATTTAGAGGAAGGGTGGGCTGGGGCTTATGCCCAATATGGCCCTACTGGCTGTGGCAATCCTACAATGCTGTTGCACAATGAAAAAAATGTCTACTGAAGGGCTTCCTAGTCATCAGTCAGTAACCTGTGGCAGGTCCTAGGGCTTCTCAGCTAAGTGCTGGCATTTTTTGGACTTTGCTTGTGTAGCTGTGTATAGTGCATTGTTCTGGTGTAGTGTGGGCCTGGCCTTTAGTGTGTTTGGAGCTACTGGTTTTTTTTTTTTTTTTTTTTTTTTTTTTTTTTTTTTTTTTTTTTTTTTTTTTTTTTTTTGACATATATACAAGAGTTGTTACATTCTTGTACAGCCACTAGTACGCGTAGCATTTCGGGCAAGTCCCTGGAATGCGACCCCCACGTAGAATCGTTTTTACAACCAAGTACACATTTTACTGTTGAGTTAAACAGAGGCTACAGTTAAGGATTTGCATCCAGTAAATCCTCCCCAGCCAGGATACGAACCCATGACAAAGCGCTCACGGAACGCCATGTGAGTGTCTACCACTACACCACGGAGACTAATAAAGACTGCTGCATGCTGCTGCTTCATGCTGCTGTTGCATGCTGCTGCTGCTGTTCCTGTGGCTGCTGCTGCTGCTCTTTCTTCTTTGTTGTCAATCGTTGATGTTGTTGTGGAAGTCCCAGTTGGTTCCATTCCAGATTCGGACATGGCTAGGCCTCGTGGGGGACCTTCGGTCAACATGACTCTCCCTTTCTCCCGCGACTTTGCTTTGGCTGCAGCACCACCACCTGCTTGTGCTGAGGCAGCTCCCAGGTGACTCAGTAGTTGCTCAAACATCTGTGAGGGAGCCTAAACTTAGCCTGCATGGTTTTACCAGTGGGTAGGGTTTGGCTTTGGGGGTTGTTCTAGTTTCTCCAGTTCCACCACTTTTGCCCCTGCTGCAACCATTGGGGTTCAGACCCCAATTGCCTTTTGCTGTGTCTCCGTCTTCCTTTTCGGACTTCAGGGTTCTGTTCCTTGGCACCTTCTTCCCTCGCTCAATATCTTTATCGACTCTTTGGCTCTGGGTTGAGGCTTCGTGACCAGTGCTCACCAGGCTGCTCATGATTGTTGGTCACTACCTTTTCATCGGGCTCACAGTACGGTGCTGGAGTTAGCGGCCGTTTGGCATGCCTCGTGGAGGATTCGGATTCCTCCGGGCTTGAACTCCATTCCAACGGTGCCTGTATGAATACATTGCATGAACCGTGGGGGGCTCCTTTCAGTCCATTGCCTTATGGAGCTTGACACTACAAGTTGCTTGTCTGCTAGTTACTAGGGGTTTGGTTCTCCACAAAATTCACATTCAGGGGGTGTCCAACACTCATGCATACGGTCTGTCTCAGTTCCATCCCATTTCTATGGGGTTGACCTTCGACACCACCTTCTTCCTCTGGCTTTGCGTGACATTCAGGTGACTTGATGTGGATCTCTTTGCATCAGCTTGGAATCTACACCTTATTCTTTACATGGCTCCATTCCCCAATTGCAAAGCCATCACAGTGGATGCTTTTCATCTGGACTGGTCATTACCTTGCATTGATTCCCGGAGTCAAGGTCCTCATGGCCCCCATTCTCTAACCAAACCCCTTACCAGGTCATAGTGGGGGTTTCTGTACCTTTTTTGTTCCCTAGTCCAGTTGCTACCCTGGGTCCTGGCCAGATTGGAGTCTAACTGGGGAAGGTGGCCCTTTTGGTTCCTTGGTGGCTGGCTCAGCCTTAGTTTCAGGTGCTGTTTGCTCAGTATCCGATCCTGGATGTTTTCCCATGGATTCACCTCTTTCAGAACCAAGAGCATACCTTTCTGGTTCAACCTTCTCAGCTCTTCGTCTGGTATTTTTATGCATCTTTATTGCCATCTCTGTGACAAGCAGGTGGTTGAGTTGATGGTGTCCCACCTGTGGTTACCTTTTAAGCAGCATTTTGAGGTTTCTTGGTGCTCTTGTCACAAGTTCCTTTCCCTTCATTGTTGATCTTCATTCTCTGAGCATGTAGTTCACTTGTCCCTGTCCTGGTTGTTTCTTGACTGGGATCTCATGGCAGAAAATTTGCCTCTTATTGTGGAGCACTGGTGGAGTTGCTTCTACGTGTCTTTGGTGTCAAAATATCGTCAGCGATGTTTTAGTAGCTTTCTCATGCATTATTTCACCTCCGCCTTGTTCATGAACCACTTAACCCCACTTGGACCTTGGACCATGTTCTTGTTTTTTCTTCTCAGTTTACAGTGTTCCCTTTGTTCCAAGATTCTTTTTCTGTTTACAGTGTCCCCTTTCTTCCAAGATACTTTTTTCTAAGGCAAGATACTTTTTGTTGGCATTTTCCATCAGGATAGCTTCATACTCTTCTCTGGAGGTGGGGTTACTGTCCTCTTATGGCCCTAATGGACATTTTTTTTCATTTGCAGCCTCCTCTTCTGGCAAAGAATGTATTGGTGGGCTTCCTGAGAGGTCATTTGGCGGTGAATGCTAGATTGGTTAGGCCAGGGGTGCATCGTGTACTGTGCCCAGTGGAGGTGCTCTGCCACCACCTTTGTGCCACTTGTTCTGCTTCAGTGGATGCTTTGTGGGGTTGATCCTGTTTTCTTGGTTCCCTGTTCCAAGGCTCGTTTCTTTCAGGTTCTGCAGTGTCATAAGATCTCGACTACCTGCAGTTCCTCCTCTGCCCTAGTGAGGTCCTATTCTTCTCCATGGGTATTTTACCTGAAGGAAACATAAAGGGGACACCCCCAGAAAACCAGTGTTGAATGTAATGAAATGCCAATTTCTGGGTGAGCCCCAGTGGCTCCCTGATTGTCCCCCAACCCTTCCAGGTCGTCGGTTGGGGTATATCATGTGTGCATCGTAGCTCTGCCCCTCTCCCCCAAATCAGTGAAAGGAGTGGAGTGAATGAGTGCATGCTTATTTCAAGAGATTTGATTATTTGTTTACCAGTTTGGAGGAGTTTATTTGGCAGGGTTTGAGGTTTCAGTCTTTTTGAACCCAGCAGTGGTCTGAGTATCACCTGCTCTCTACACTTCTGTGAGGGAACCAGGTTAGGGCTCTGGTCCCCAGTAGGCCAATAGAACTCTATGGCTGATGCATCTAGTAGTTGGGAACAACATCAGTGAGATAACTTCAGGGAGCCACTCGGGCTCATCTAGTAATCAGTATTTCATTACATTCAATGCTGTTTTTCTGATGTAGTCTTGCATGTGACATTAATGTACCCAATTAAATGTTGTTTTTTTTTCAATTGCAGATTAAGCCAGAGATAAATGTTGTGGAAATTGGGAAGCAATATATGAATCCTTTCTAGGTATTCTTCATCATGTCGCATACTGCTGAAGCCCTTTTATTGCTCACTGCTTAGTTCCTTCATTTTGAATAGAAGTTATGAAAAGTGCATTTCATGTATTTTAGTATGTACTCAGCCTGTACTTTAACTGCTGTACCGCTCACATCATGGTATCATGGAGAGAGGGTGTGCAGCAGCCAGCATATCATGTTAGTATATTGTAAGATTCAAAACTCCCCCTGGGTACATATGGCTTACATCCTGTTCCTGAGAACTCCAGTAAACAGATGCCATCTTGAAAAAATGTCATCTGCATCCCTCCTGGCTTTGAGAGCCTCAGTTATGCCAGAGCAGCCAAGGCTGGCAAATGCAGCAAGAGCTTACAGCACCGCTGTGCAGGTCGGGGCCACAGCACCACTTAAAAATGAATAAAATAAGTAACTGCAATTATTTGGCAATGATAGTATCATAAATGCTGTCCTGACAGCTGAGTGGACAGCACTTCGGATTTGTAGTCCTGAGGTTCTGGGTTCGATTCCCAGTGGAGGCGGATACAAATGGGCAAAATGTTTCTTTCACTCTGATGCCCCTGTTACCTAGCAGTAAAGAGGTACCTGGTAGTTAGACAGCTGCTACGGGCTGCTTCCTGGGGTGTAACAAAAAGGAGGCCTGGTCGAGGTCCAGGCCTCTGGTCCTTGACCAGAGGGAAAAATATATATTTTTTAGGAAAAATATAAATATATTTTTATTGTTACATATTTCTAGGAAAAATATATAAATTATATATAATATATATATATGTGTGTGTGTGTGTATAGTGTAATAACAGCAAAACTGTTTTATTGTTCAAAGAATATAATATACATGTCGCTATATATGAGCACCATATTTTGTAGCATAGCAATGTTTCATACATTTGATTATGTAAGTTCTTCAAATTCACACTATTGAATAATAATATTGCAAAAAACTAGATAAAAAATCATTCAAAGACATTGAAATAATTATGTAATAATATGTTTGCATCAACTCTCGCCACACATCAGGTCTGGAGGAAACTCCAGTTGGCGACTGCTCTGTGCAATGTTGGATAATTTTGGAAAAATGTGTCACCACATGGGATTGGTGGTTAATGAAGACAAAACTAAGTTTCAATGTAGAAGTCAGAGGCCTATTATATTGAAAATATATAGTAAAAATATAGTTAAAATATATAAATATTTAGGCACATATGCTGGATATACCCCTAAGAGTTTGGAAGCTGAGATAAACCGACTTGTGGGTCAATGTTGGAAGAGATTACTACCTCTGAAGGTCTTGGCATGCCGTGGAAAGGGAGTGGGAGTCCCTGTGTTACGAATGATGTACATACTTGAGTACTGTGAGATCCTTGATTGATTTTAAGAACATAAGAACAAAGGTAATTGCAGAGGACCTATTGGCCCATACGAGGCAGCTCCTATTTATAACCACCCAATCCCACTCATATACATGTCCAACCCACGCTTGAAACAATCGAGGGACCCCACCTCCACCACGTTACGCGGCAATTGGTTCCACAAATCAACAACCCTGTTACCGAACCAGTATTTACCCAAGTCTTTCCTAAATCTAAACTTATCCAATTTATACCCATTGTTTCGTGTTCTGTCTTGTGTTGATACTTTTAATACCCTATTAATATCCCCCTTTGTTATGTCCATTCATCCACTTGTAAACCTCTATCATGTCACCCCTAACTCTTCGCCTTTCCAGTGAATGCAATTTAAGCTTTGTTAATCTTTCTTCATATGAAAGATTTCTAATTTGGGGAATTAACTTAGTCATCCTACGCTGGACACGTTCAAGTGAATTTATATCCATTTATATGCTGCATTATGTTATGCTGCACCTGTCATTTCTTGTTTTGGTAAAGGTAGACTAAACAAGTTAGAGAAGGTACAAAATTAAGCCAAGAGAATAATTTTAGGATGCCCAAGAAATGCTATGATTGAAATAATAGGGATGGAATTGAATCTGCAGAATATTGGGGATAGAATTTCAGAAATAAATGTAGCCTTTGACATTAATTAATGAGAGGCGGGGGAGCTTATGAATTAATCCTCTCAGTTCAAAAGGTGGGAAGTAATGAACAGTGCATGTTAAAGTGTAATAAGAGAGCATATAAAAGTACCTTATGTTCTAATATTTTAAAGAAAGAAGTTATTGCAGAATGTATTGCTTTGCCTAAGAGACAATTCATACCACCATGGGAGGAATGTAACGTAGGTGTAGTAATTATTCCCCTACAAAAGAAATAAAGCATGTATGATATAGGAGAACTGAGGGCAACATATGATTGTATAATTAGAAAATTACCTACAAAAAACAAACTACATACTGTATATATTATGATGGGTCAGTAGCTAGGGATGGAAAAGCAGGAATTGGAGTCTTGATTAGGGTGTATACTGACATCGGCACTGTAGATACTGTTATTGGACACTGCTTAACTGACAATGTCTCTTCGATGCAGGCTAAACTCCAAGTTGTATTAATGTGATTAAAGAAAGTAGCCCCCCTCCCTTTCTAGCCCATTGTCGTTGTGAGGGGGCTTGGTGGTATACTAATACGTATCAAGCCTTGTTTGGTCCTGCTTCATGGGCTAAATACTTTGATCTCCTCCCTCTGGATTCTACACCTCCTGATGATTTCTCACTCCATAAACACCTTGTTGATTCAGTGGATGCCTGTGTTACTTTTAACCCCACCCATTTAGGTACACGTGTCGTCACTGCTCCTTCACCGAATGCAGCTACCCACTTAGCCGCATTGTCCTACATTGGGGAGACCCCTGTTCAGGTCTCCAAAAGCGCTCGGTTAAATGCCAGTGTTGGCACTGTTCTCCTCCCACACCATGTTGCAACTGGTGTTAGGGTCGTAAAAGACCGCCATGAGGATATTAAACATAACTTTGAAGCCCAAGGCCATCCTGTCCTCCAGGTAGACATGTTCACTCGACCTCCTCGTGGTCACCGCTGTCAGCCCCTTCGAGTTGTGAAAATCCCCTTCGATAGTAGGTCCCTTCCGTCCTCTTATCATTCTTGCTGGTGCCAGGTGATCCGTTCAGGAGTACATCCCCTCTCCTAGATTTGTAGTAAGTGCTGGAAGTTCGGGCACAGTGCCCTCAAATGCACAAGTCTTGTTTCTCTGTGCCCCCATGTGTGGGGACGATAGCCACTCTAAGACAGATTGCTCATCTTCCCAGGCTCACTGCCTCAATTGCGGTGAGGCTCACCCTACCTTCTCCTGCACGTGTATCCATTACAAGCTTGAGGAAGCAGTCCTCAATTTGAAACACCGGGATCGTTTGACTTTTCCTGAAGCGAGATGCCAAGTCCGCCGTCTCCACCCTTTCACTGGCATATCTTATGCTCGCATGTTGCGTTCTACCTCTCCTCGTCCTTCCCTCCTTCCTCAGTCCCGCAACCGTTTCCAGGCCTTGGACCCAGACACGCCCACCACCACCTTCCACTGTTCCTTTATTTTCTGTCCCGGAAGGTCTTCCTCCTGATTCTTCTTCTGGAGTTTCCCCCCTTCCTACCCTGTCCGCCATGTCTCCTGCGTCTTCTTTTCCTTCTCCCCCTGATCCTTCTTCCCAGCCCTCCCAACAATCTCTTGGCCCTCCATGCCACCTGTCTGTCCAGGCTGATGTCCATCATCCTCCCAGCAATCTTCATGTTGTTCACTCCCGTTCTTCTCCTGCCAAGACCATTGAGTCTGTTGCCCAGTACATTGTTGCTTGAACACCTGTCTCTTTGAGCCAGAAACGTAAGCCTGGCTCCTTTCCTTCCTCCTCCCCAGAGGGTAAGAAGGCATCGCTTTCTTCCTCGCCCCCCGAACTCTGACTCTATCGCTACGTTCCCTCCCATTTCGGTGGTCGGGCCCCCTGTCCCAGCTATGGAGGTTTCTTACGCCCCCGATTCCCTCTCGGTTGCTGCCCTTGCTGAGGTGCGCTCCCAGTTTCTGCCCTCCCCCCTCTCCTCCTGCTGTCCCTTGATAACCCCTCTCAGTTGACACCCCCTCCTCCAGACCCCATCCGTCTGCCTATGGTCTGTCCTCCCGCTCCCTTCCCTCCATCCTTACTAAGTTTACTCTAGCCCTCTAACCCTGATTTTGCTGACACTGATCCTGATCTTCTTTAATATACTGTGTTCTTCTTTACCTTTGTTTCTTCATTGTTCTCTTTTGCTGTCCTTTCTCTTTTTGATAATGTCTGTTCTTCAATGGAATATTCATGGATTTTAAGTATGGCTAGATGTGTTTGTCTCCAGGAGCCGATGCTTGATGCTCGTCCTGGTTGCTTTCGTGGTTATTCCTTTCTTTCTCTCCCCTCAGCTCTTGCTGGGACCCGTAACTCTACTGCTCTCTTGATTTGTACTGTTTTCATCGCCTATCCATTGTTCTGCTGCCCGTGTTTTTGTGAGTAAATGGTATACAGTCTGTTCCACTTATCTCCCCCCAAATGTCCTGCTTTCCCTTCCTAATCTTAACCCTTAACATGCTCGGGGTTTAACCCTTAAAGTGCGCATCACTTCATATGAAGTGTAAATCGTTTTACCAGTCAACTGCGCTTCACTTCATATGAAGTGTATGGGTACCGCGCACGATTTGAATGGCCCGCGGTGTAGCTGGGGGTCCCATACGCTGCCCAGGGGCTCTAGTAAACAGCGGCCATTTTGAAAAAAAATCCAGCTCACGCTCCGATGGCATGGGAGGCCTCAGTTTAGCGAGAGTCACCATGGCGAGCGCACGGTCAAACGCCTCACGAGCACGCATCACTCAGTCCCTCACCCCAGAGCAAATAGCCCACGAATTATTCTCTGAAGGTGAAGAAAGTGTGTTTGACGATTCAGACAACGATGAGGATTATACACAGTTGTCGGGAGATAGTAGCAGCAGCAGTGAAAGTGAAAATGACCGCCATGCCATGGCGAGGCCTATACGCTCTCCCATGCCTCCTCGCCCATTTTCTACCCCAATTCTACCACGACCTCACAGTTCCTGTGGATATTTTCTGTTTGAGGGTGACGAGTCAGAGGGAGGCGACTCCTTTTCTGGGTTTAGTGACTCAGATCAAAGTTTTATTGAGCCTGTGGCTGGTACCAGTGGTGTAACTGGGCGAGAAATTGTCGCGTCAGCAGCATCTCGCCCAGCCAAGTGCCACCGCATGGCACCACATGAGGGACCAAGACCCTCGTGTTCACGTGCATCCACCTCACGTGCATCCACCTCACGTGCATCCACCTCACGTGCATCCACCTCAAGTGCATCCACCTCACGTGCATCCACCTCACGTGCACCCACCTCACGTGCACGTAGCCGCCGTGCTTCTCGCAGACGGTATTCAGCTCCTGGTCGCCGGTATGCATCGCTTCCTCGCCGTCTTTCCTCT